TAATTATCATTTTGATCCATACATTAGTAATGTGTGACTGGGCCTCGTGTCACTTTATGCTGAACAAATTGGGCCCTGAGGTCAAAAAGGTTAAGAACCTCTGTTTTAGACTAAGCTTGATTTTGTGATTTATAAATTTAATATCATAATAGAAGTAATCCTCATTAATACAAAAAGCTACATATGAACTAATTACATCTCCAAATGAGCATGTCCCAGCCTGAACAGTTTGAACACTCTCATGTTAAACTACTCAAGAGGCTGGTTTCTGTTTCCAGCAGCACTCACCGCCACACTCTGTCACGTATCTGTTGATGTTGTCGATCGCCTGGTTCAAGCTGCTCAGAGTCATCTGCCTCAGGTAGCCTGGTAACGTCTGAAACTCGCCCCGGGACACCGCAGACAGGCATTTTGTTTGTGGAACAGGACTGGACAGAATAAAAAATGTTAAAATAAAAAAATGATTAAGTATAGGAGKAAAATCATATAAAGTGAATACAAATGAAGCACAGGAAGAAGAAATGAGCAGGAGCTCAGGCAAACAGAAGAACGAAGGGAACTAATTCTCTGCAGTGCTTCCTTTGAAAATATCAACTTTCAGAGACTCAGTGGTGGGCAGCGCTAATCCAAAAATCRGCTCCGCAATTTCTAAAGCGYTTATGTAAATATTTAGGTCCGCAAACTCAAAAGCGCTTATGCCATAGAAAAACTGGCGGAAGCAAATTTTAAAGCACAAGTTCAATTTGGCACTAGCTGGCAACAATTCATGTACAATATATGTACAACACTGCCAACTAACAGTGTATGAACCCTTGTACAGCTTAATCCTACAACTGCCGATTGATGGGGATGTGAGTTCCTGAAACAGACCTTTGGCTCCTGGTGTAAAAAAAAAAAGTTGTTGAGGATTGCTAGTTCAGCTGCTTCTTTGTTTTTTTTTTTTCTTTTGTTTGTTGTAGAGTTTTCATTAAAGAAGCAGCAATAAAGTAATTTTAAAACTGTTTATTGGAAAACTGAAGCGATGCATTCTGGGTACATGATGGATTTGATTTGTGATGAGAAACGAAAGCATAGAGTACAGGAAACTATCTTCACTTCAAAATAAGAGCTTGGATTCTAAAGTTTTCCATGTAGTTGCTCCAATGACCACTAGATGTCAGTCTTCACCAGCATAACATTTTTAAATCATTTCTGAGTCTCTAACCCCGTTGGCTGATTGCTTCGACCAATTACGTCAAATATTGAGCTCCAGCATTTAAACTTTATTGATTTTTTTAAAAAAGGCACTCTGATTGTAAAGTAAATAAATCAATACATACAAAATTTTAGTATGGATTACAAATAAGGATGGGTACCGAATTCRATACTTTTTGATGTAAAGACCGAATTCTGTCGGTACTACAGAGTATCTATTCACGTAACATCAAACAGTATCATGTTTCGGTACCTAAACACATCATTGCGACTGTATTGGCTTAAGAGTGGTGAGTTTTCCATTCTTGTCCTGAACGCAGCATTGCGCAAGAGCGTAACGACATCACCAGCTGCTGGTAAACAGAGCTCAGAACGTAGCTTGAAAGTGACTCGTTTTAAGCGAGCCTCACAGCGCGTAGCTCCTGGAGTAAAAGTCGCCGAACAGACYGCCTCTGAATTGTCTGGTGGATTAATTATCTTGTGAGCAGGACGTTCGCTTGCTCAAAGTAAATAAAATACCGCCACTTTCTTTATTTCATCCTCCATTAAACAGAGAGCGGCAGAGGAAAACAACAGAGACGGTTCCTGACAGTCCGAACACGTAATAGGTCATCAGTGTGAGGCTGCTAGTGAGCTATATCCACCCTGAAGGTTAATCTTGGACAATATCTGATGATTGACACTTTTAAATGAAACCAGAGAGCGTTGACAGAGAGGAGAAGGTAGAAATGACTCAGCCTGGAACTGAAAATATGGATGGGAGGACAACAGAGATGCTTCATGGAAGAAGAACCTCAGCTTAGCCTGTTAGCCTTTGTGCTAGCCCTCACGCTATATCGCCTTATATGTATTAGCTCAGCGCTAGTGCGACAAACAAGCTAAACTGAGGTCCTCCATCCATATTTTCAGTGGCGGGCTGAGTTATTTTTGTGTTCCCCTCTGTCATGTGGATAGAGGACCTCAGTGACAAGAGGAGAATGTGTAGCGCTGAGATAATACATATACGGTGATAGCATCGGGGCTAACACTAAAGCTAACAGGCTAAGCTGAGGTTTTTCTTCCATGAAGCAGCTCTGTTGTCCTCATCTATATTTTCAGTTCCAGGCTGAGTCA